GGCTGCTGGAGGGGCCCCTGGGCCTGCTGGGAGTGGGCACAGGCCTATAAAGACCCGAAAGCTGCTGCCTGGTCTGCCTAGCTTGGGCAGCACGCTCCAGTGCCTACAGGGCAGCTGCCCCAAACAGCTCCCCTGGCTCGACTGGCACACTACGGAGGACATGTCTCCGACCATGGTAACTGAGCAGGCCAAACCTGGCGACGAGTCTGCACCAATAAGGGCATAACTCGTCCCAATTCCCTAGACATTAGGGCAAAGGCTTACAGTGATGCATTACTGAGGCCCAGCAAAGAAGGCTCAGTCGGAGCCTGCTGCAGAGAGGTAGAGACCATCAGCATCAGATGGGAGAGGGAGTTCCCGTGCCGCTGTGTCGTAGGCCTTACAGAGCAGCTCGTTTGTGACCCTGCACTAAGGCCGAGGGCACCTGGCATCAGGAGCCAGAATCGGGGAGGCGATGGCAGGCTCAATGGATGGCAAGCGACCCAGACCCAGCCCCACCCTCGCCGGATCCTGCATGGCAGCAGAGTGGGAGAGGGCCCTGGTGTCTCTCCAGCATGCATGGAGCTCCCTCAGGTACTCCTCTAAAGGAGGAACAGTGGGAGTGACCGGGGCAGGGTTATGCCTGAAGAAGGCGCTAGCCTGAGCCGAGTCGGCCTGAGGAACCTGAAGCTGTAAGCGTACCAGGGCCGCACGAATAATGGCCGCCATGGAGGCGTCCTCCGTGCCCTACAGAGAGCTCTGAGCAGAGGAGTGGGAAGCCTCCTCAGGGGTGAGCGGGGCCCCGCCCCCCCCTTCACATAAGAGGTTTAGCCGGAGCCGCTAGCGACATGGCATCCTCAAGCAGAGGTGTGGCAACCGAAGGAGGGCCGGGCGGCAAGCTAGTAGCCCCCACCCCGGCCCCTGGCTGAAGGGCCAACAGGAGCGACTTTGTCTGCTCCATGACGGCAGCTAACCGATCCACCCTAGAGGACAGCCTGTTTCTAGTCCTCTCCTGGGGGGTGAACCCAAGCCATCACTCCATCAAGTTGCCGGGAACGGCCAGACTGAGCTGGAGGAAGTTGTGACGAGGAGAGGTGCCACCTCTGCGACTCTAGCCACTCTGAGCGCCCGAGGCATGAAGCTACAGCTCATGCAGGCGCTTACCGTGAGAGCCTCCCTTAGATGCTCGAGGCCGAGGCAAGAGGGGCAGCGGTCATGGCCGTCCTCGGGCTCAAGAGAAGCCATACAGGCGCTACATTAATGAGCCATTCTGTAGGTAGCCAGATGCAGCGTAACCGGGAGCGGGTGCGGGAACACAGCCTTCACCAGCTACCTGCTTAACGGAAAGAGTAGAGCGGTGCTGCTACTCGCCGAACAGAAAGAGGGATGTAACTACACCCACGTTACCAGCAGAGGGAGCGGGAGCGAGAGCACTGCCTTCACCTAGCTGGATTAATAAACAAGGCAGTTTAGCGTCTACCAGGAGCGGGGGCGAGAACACTGCCTTCACTGGTTGAGTCAGAAACGAATGCCAGATGCAGCGTAACCGGGAGCGGGTGCGGGAACACAGCCTTCACCAGCTACCTGCTGAACGGAAAGAGTAGAGCCTAACTAATAAAGCAGTTAGCGTCTACCAGGAGACTGGTCAAGTTCGAGACTAATGCCAGATGCAGCGTAATCGGAACAGCTTAGCCGGGCGGCTGCTGTTAGAATCAAGTACACGCCTACCAGGAGCGGGGGCGAGAACACTGCCTTCACTGGTTGAGTCAGAGAGAAATGCCAGATGCAGCGTAATCGGGAGCGGGTGCGGGAACACAGCCTTCACCAGCTACCTGCTTACCGGAAAGAGTAGAGCAATGCTCCTACTCGCCGAACACAGAGAGGGATGTGAATGACCTACACCCACGTTACTAGCAGAGGGAGCGGGAGCGAGAGCACTGCCTACACCTAGCTAGATTAAACGAAGAAGCTTAACGGGGCAGTTTAGCCAGGCAGCTGCTGCTAAGAATCAAGCAGCACGCAGAACACGCCAGATGTTAGCCAAGCGGCCGCTGCTAACAATCAGAGCAATAAGTTACAGGGCAATACGTTGCCGGGAGCGGGAGCGAAAGCACTGCCTTCACCAGCTGAGTTAATAATGAAGCTTAACAGACCATGCAAGGCGTTAGCCAAGCGGCTGCTGCTAACAATCAAGCGAAATCAAGTCAAATAACACAAATGTTTAAGACCAGATAACTAGCTTCCAAAGAAGAGAACAGCACAGAGCCGTAGTTACAGTAGTAACCATGGCCAGTGCCTACACGACCTAGAACCGTAGTTACAGTAGTAACTATGGACAGTACTTACACGGCTTAGAACCGTAGTTACAGTAGTAACTATGGCCAGTACTTACACGGCTTAGAACCGTAGTTACAGTAGTAACTATGGCCAGTATCTACACAGCGTATAACCGTAGTTACAGTAGTAACTATGGCCAATACTTAAACGGCTTAGAACCGTAGCTACAGTAGTAACTATGGCAAAAGTAACCGTGGCCGGTGCTTAAAAGTGTCAGCCAAGCGGCTGCACCCTAGATAATATAATCTTGGGAGGATAAAATCCTCTTAATGGCCACACATGCAGAGCACACAGCACACACAGTGAAGATTGTTCTCTGCATCTACCCATCCTAGTGCTAGGAGTCTAGTACTAGGAGCGGTAAATACAACAATATAGCGCTACTGCAATCAAAACCATACGTTACCGGGAGCGGGAGTGAGTACTGCCCTCACCGGCTGAGTTAATAATGAAGCTTAACAGTACATGCAAGGTGTTAGCCCAGCGGCTGTTGCTAACAATCCAGCGAGACCAAGTCAAAACACAAATGTTAAGACCAATAATTAGCTTCTAAGGAATAGAACAGCCCGCATAGAACCATAGGCCATGGTTACAGTAGTAACCATGCCGTTGTTACATGGCCTAGGACCGTAGTTACAGTAGTAACTATGGCCAGTACTTACCTTACTCTCTGCACCTAAACAAAAAACGGGCAAAATATGGCACGCAGCTAAGCTGGGAACCCCAATGCTAATGATAGCTCGGGCACAACGCCACAAGCAGAACTTTCAAAAGAGCATAATAAGGGCAACTTTATGGGAGAGGAAGCGGGAACACTGTCGTCACCAGAAAGTACCCAAACAATAAACAAGACAGCAATCAGGACAACTTAGCTGGGAGAGGGTGCGGGAACACAGCCATCACCACAAGTTGACACGAACCTGTCCGTCGAGGCTCTGCACAGCGCACAGCCGGCCACAGCTCCTGGAGGACGCGTTAACAACCCGTAGCTCCGACTATCAGTCGCGAAGCTGCACGCGGCCAGCTGTATGCAGAAAAATCCCTCAGATCAAACGTTCAAACCTGAACGCTGTAGGCTAAAAGAATGTAGCCACGGTACTCTCGCGCAGCGAGAAGATGAAAAGGAACAGATCCTCTGACGACACCGGCTGATATAGCCGGTGTCACGTGGGTCACAGGTGACTTTGTTGGTATTGGTACTCGAGCTGCGCATGCACGCGTTGGATATATCCAGTGCTAAAGCACCGCCTCTGGCGGTCAGTAGGGACGAAATAGAACTGTGGTTCTGGGGTATCTGACGGTTAAGTCAAGTAATTTCTATTGATTAGACCAGTGGTTCCCAAACTGTGTGCCGCGGCACACTGGTGTGCCGTGAGGCAAGTCCGGGTGTGCCGTGGGATTTTGTGACAACCATACGTGATTATTGCAATATACAACTACACAAAAATAATTATTTTTTAATTTACTATATCAGTACTTTGTATGCACTCATTTCATAATACAGAGGCAAACTCTATACCTAAAAACAATTCTTTTAATAAAAATCCTCACGGAACCCCATATTTCGCAGGTAACGCAGTTGCAGGTGGGAATTATATGACCGTGACACACCGAAGGCTGAAGGACAACATTAAAACAAAGAAACACGCAAGAGGGAAAATGGAGCGCTTTCTTGTGCGGAGAAAACCCACCACCGAAAGAAAAGAGAAAAAAAACTGTCAGCAGACAGTATCATGACAGTTACCTGTCTTATGGCTTCAGTTGGACCGGGGATGGCAACAATCCTCAACCCGAGTGCGTCGTCTGTCGGGAGAAGTTAGCTAATGCGAACATGGTTCCAAGCAAGCTGAAGAGGCACTTGGAAACCAAACATCCCTTCCATGTTCAGAGAAACTTGGCCTACTTCATAAGAGCGCGGGATCTGAACCAGAGGCAGCAAGACCGTTTGTTGGATTGTGTGAAAGTGTCTGAAAAGGCAATGGAGGAGACACTCATCCTCCCGCTTGCAAAAAAATGGTAGGTATCATGCTGGGTCCAGATGCCGCAAATGAGCTATCCAAAGTGCCGTCGTCTGATAATACCATCAAAAGAAGAATCGACGACATGTCAGAAGACATTGAGCAACAATTGACAGAGAAACTGCAGGCGAGCGGCATGAAGAACAACAGGAGGTCACGGCTCTCTGTTGAACAGGACTTGCGAGTGGCCCTCTCCTCAGTGCCACCAAGGATTAAAAAAATCTGCGCGCCCCGACAGGCACATATATCTCACTAATTTGTAAGTCGGCAAAAATATTTACAATAGCACTGTTTCTATGCTGATTGCTGAAATGTTATATTTATAATTTGTAGTTCAGGCCCATGGACAGTGCAGCTTCCTTGCATTGACAGTTCTCTGTGCTGAATTTCTGCTGAGTTTCCTTTGCCTCATTTTTTATTGTGTGACCTGTCTGGTTTAAATGAGTGTGTTGCTGCTTTGATGAAGCCTAATTTGATAAAGTTTCAAATTAATTTGAAATATTTCGTTAATAAATATTTCATGAGTAATATAGTTGTCTTTGTCACATTTTATTTGGCATTAGTAAATAATTATGCACATTTACAGATATTTTACATGATATGAGTGATAACACGTGTTATACGGGCTATTTTGCACAATAGGTGTGCCTTGAGATTTTTTTTTGTCCTTTGGTGTGCCTTGGGCACAAAAAGTTTGGGAACCACTGGATTAGACCATTGAAAAATAAAAAGATTTATCAAACCAGCAGTCCAAATTCTGGTGAAACACGTTATATGGTGTCAGTATGAAAGACAAAATTGCTGATTAACAACCTCCAGTCATTGCACTATGAGCAATATACATTTAAGCGATATTTCTGTGGTGAAAGAGTAAATGTATAAAGCAAATCAACATTAGAATAGGACAATGCTGCAGATATAAACAACTCAGACTTATTATTTTTGAGTGTTTTCTTTACTGTCACATACAGGCAAGGAAATGGCAATATGTTGTGTAAGTGAGAATGGAAAAAAACAAAGCTCTCTTTGTCAACCTAACATTTTGTTGTAATTGCTTGTGTTGCACACATTTGACCAAAAACTCATGAAATATCTATTTTGAAACAACTGCTGGGTTATTTTGCTCGGGAAATGACATTTTACAAACCTTTTATCTCTATTATGGTACACACTTAAGGCACTACTGTGATTCAACAACCAACCACAGAACTGCAGATCTCTTATGGCCATTTGCAAACAAAGTTTTAGCACACAAAGGCATCACAATTTACTTAAAGTTCATATAAAACTCACATAAGTCAGACTATATCAGGTCTAAATGCTTTTATTTGGCACAATGTCACAATGGCACAATGCCAGCTTGTCTTGAGGGTCCTGATATGAAGACAACAAAAGCAAAAAAAAAGGGATTTTCAATATACATTCACATTTGTGTCAAGATAATTTGCTTCATACAGTTCCAGTATTTGTTCCTTCATCTCATGGACAACCCTTCAGCACTAAGAGCTAACCGTCTGGTGTCCCCTGTGTCACTGTGGGATCCTGAGACTTCCTCCTGGAAGGCAGTCTCCAGTACAGCCAGGATGGATTTACGGACCATATCCTTGAAATTTTGGCCCATGAATACATACAGCAGTGGGTTTAGGCAACTGTTGAGAAAGGCCAGGTTGGTTGCTATAGGGACCCCAATAGTGGTGACATGGCCTAATGTTTCACTGCGTTGAGAGGAATTCACCAGCTTAATTAAAGCCATGATGTGAAAAGGAGCCCAGCACAGGAAAAAAGTGGTGATAACTGAAGCGATGATCTTAAAGGGGCGACTGGACTTGCTGGCCAGGGTGCGGTTTCTTCTGAGACGATGGATTATCACAGCATAGCAGGAGACAATGACAGTGAAGGGGACAACAAATCCCAGGAGGAAGCGGGTGAGGGTCATGGCCTGATGACGTATCAGACGCAGCTGATTCACAGATGCTGTTAGAGAGTCATCACGAAGAACATAGTTGTCGAAGCAATTGATGATGTCTAGATAGAAATATGATGGTGCAGTGTCCCTAAACACGAAGTATGGAGCGCTGAGAATCAGAGTCAGTACCCAAACACCCAGACTCACACAGGACGCCTTGCGTACACTTCGGTGGTTCTGGGCCCAGACGGGCCACACCACAGACACACATCTGTCCACACTGATCACCACCAGGAAGTAGACACTGGCAATGATGTTCAGAAAGCTTATAGTGTTGTTCAGCTTGCACATTAACTTGCCGAAGGGCCAGTGAAAATTCATAGCTATGTTAACAACACTCAGCGGTAAACATGCTGTGAAGAGGAAGTCGGCTATGGCGAGGTTGAGGAACCAAACTGTGGTAATTGTTTTCTTCATCTTGAATCCGGTCACCCAGATAACCACTCCATTCCCGAGCACACCGAGAACAAAGGTCAGGCAGTAAATTACAAGGGACATGGTGTTGAGAGACTTTGTCAGATCAGCATACTTGTCAGTAAACACAGAGCCATTCTTTTCAGACACGTCTGTTGTGTTGATGTTATAAGAAGGGGTAGCGGTCATCTCCATTGTTGCATTGAAACCTGCAATAGCGATATGAGAAAACAACATGAAGAAAGGTCTCAAGCAAGTCTTGAAGTGTAACATAATCGATCACAGTAAAAGCAAAGAACACAAGTCAAGTAGATAAAATTAATCTTAATTTCTGTCTTTTACCAAGGGTGTGCCACAGGGCTCCCTTTTGGGCTCCATCCACCACATATAATGAGATTGTATCTTCTGTGGTGTATAATCCATCTTTACATAAACAATACTGTTTAATACTGTGTTGCTTATCCTGTCTATAATTCATGTATTGCAAGATGCATTATGCTAATCTTTTAATAATAATACATTTTTAGTACATCAAAAATCAATGGGAACGAATGGACTGACCTAAATGATTCAAATTAGAACTTTTGGATAAAACTTCCACCTCTAAAGCAAAATCCCTGCAAGTCTGGAGATTCAAAGAACAAATTAAAAGAAAATACGAGATTAGCCAAATCACAGAATTGCACAGAATACTTCAGAATAAAATCTTGTCATTTGACTTGATGAGAAATTAACATTAAATGATGTATAGACGTGATTGCTGATAAACTTTAACTCAAGCTTAAATATCAACTGCCTCTCTCTGTGGTGTAGGCTATGGGGATTTCAGACATGAACATGCTTGTTCTCCCCTGAAGTTAATCGAAAAAATGCATTTGCTGTCAGTGCTGCACTCTCATGGAATAATCTGCAATGTCATCTAAACTCCAAACAAAGCGTCTACTCTCCAGACCTTTAAAATAGGTACTGTTCTTTGCATGTTTGACTATTTTCACTGACACTGAAACTTGTTAACTGTAAGTTTTCTCTCTTCTTTTTTCTTGTACAAAAAAAAGAGATACAAATCTAAATTGCCATATGCATATATGAGGAACATGTTTTGTTGACCAAAAGCTTAAAAATGTACAAACTGTTTTCAAACCATTGGCCCACAAACAAGTAAGCCATCTGAAATAAAGTGATTTAGTTTCAGTATACATTTAAATTATTAGCTTTATTATTTATATTGAAGCATTTTCAATAGCTCTCTATACCTCTAAACCCAAAATCAATGTTCATGTTCCCTTTCAACAACCTCTTCAGATTAATGTTGTTTAAAAAAATCCCTTTTTAATAATTGCTAACATACCTTCCTTGAAGTTCTCCATTTGGTTGAGGATACATCTACAGCAGAAGTAATAAGGTTGGCAGAATAATATTAGCTAACCTGTGGGTAGGGTATTGACCAACTTGAGGCGGAGACACTGGCACAATCCATCCATCATCCAAAAAAAGAAAGAAGAAATCTCCTAAAGTCTATTAAATCTTTTGTGTACGGTCACATTTAAACTATTTAAACACTGTAATTACATTTTCTCCTCATTTTCTAAAACAACACATTGGCTTTATTGATATGATTTATACAGTGCAAAAGAAGTGAAGAATGCTACATTTTACTGTTTTTAGTGCACATACTGTATACATTTGTCAGTCAAATCAACAACACGTAGGTTAGATATTCTAATGCCCCCTCCCTTTACCCTGCGCAAGAAAGTCGGAGCATCATCTTTTAATAATTTAGTTTCCCAACAGTTTTATAAAGTAGCAGTTTACTCCCTGCTTTACAATTTCAACTAGAAGCTGGAGACATGTACTGTGCTGCCTCTGTACGTCTGTCCGTGCAAGCCAAAAGAGAACTGAAATCAGATTGTTTCTTTCTCTGTCATGTTGTTTTGATAGATATTAGTATAAGGGAAGTTCAGCCACTCTAGTTTCATCCTGTTTTATAATCTCATTTCCTTTAAAGGGGACCTACTGTATCATGCAAAATGCACTTTTTGATGTCTTTTATACATAGATATGTGTCCCCGGTGTGTCAGGGAACTCACGCAGCGTCAGAAAATAAAACCCTCTCTCTTTTCCTCCGTACCCAAATCTCTAAAAACGGGGGTACGGAGCTGATCCAGATTTGCGGCGATTTGACGTCATATCGGCAATGCGGACCCACAGCACTATCAGAAACGTTGCTATCAGAAACAATGCCGACGGTTTTGGGCGTAATAGAGTGGTGCAGTGACGCATCCTAAAACCCGGAAGTAAGCTGCGCATGGGTTCCCTCGACAAAAAAGCAATGCAATTTCTCCATAGGATTTTGGAAAATAGCTCGAAATAAGGTATGTGGCTGACACACATTTAAGAGACAGATCACGTAAATCTAATCGCCAGAAGCAAAATGCTAACGTTATGCTATAAACGAACTACAGCAGGGTCACTGCTTCAACGTCACGCCAATTTAAGATCCATATTCAAAAATACAGATTCAAAATGGTACAAGTTGAAGCGTTTGTTTGAACAGTTTGCAGGAGGCAGGTACTTGCTTTCAAGCAGAACAGGGGGAAAAACAAACTTAGCGGGAGTGTTTACCAGTGTAATGACGTACAACGGCCTCGACAACTTCTATAGTCCTATTCAGCCACTTGTTAACAACCATCGTTTTTCAGACACGTAAACTCTTCAGAAATCACCAGTGGGGTCACTGCTGATGTATTTAATGTCGTAGAACAAAACGTGATCCGTCTCTTAAATGTGTGTCAACCACAGACCTTATTTCCAGCTATTTTCCAAAATCCTATGGAGAAATTGCATTGCTTTTTTGTCGAGGGAACCGGAAGTGGTAAAATGCTAACTTACTTCCGGGTTTTAGGACGCGTCACTACACCACTCTATATGGTCGGTGTTTACATTAGCATCGCTAACACTCAGAGCTAACCTGATACTGTTTTATATCAAAGACCACATATCATGTAATTAGGTTCAATGCTCTGCTGAGAATGAGCTTGAGCATATCTGTCTTAATGTTAGCCTGTCACCACAGATGTCTTTCATTCTCATTGGAGTGTATAGACCACCATCTGCAAAAGCTATTTTCTTTGACAAATTAGAAATAATGCTTAGGGAATGCAGTTTTGCTAAGGAAATAGTATGAATGGGTGACTTCAATGTTAATTGGGAGGACAAAGCAAGTGATAAGGCATTAGAACGGGTATCAAATACATTTGATCTCACACAATTAATTAATTAATTAATTAACAAACCTGAAAGGATGACAAAAATCTTCAATATTGTCACTGGTCTATCTGACCACAACCTAACTCTCATAGCCAGAAAGCTCACTAAATCCCGCTTCCATTTGAAACCCAACACAAAATCTTACCAATTAAGAATACCCAAGAGTGATATTGATGAATTTGGAAAATTAAAAACATTAACTGGAGCCAAATGTTATCTGGTACAGATGTGGATACCAACACACATACCCTTACTTCAACAATCCAAAACATATCAAAACAATTCCTCAGGAAAAGCAAATCTAAGGCCAAAAATAAACACACCCTCCCCTGGATTAATAGTGACATCGGTTGGTGACATCAGGAAATCAATGAAGGAGAGAGATAATGCTCTAAGGCACTCTCTTAAATCAAATTTAGTGACTGACAGGCATATAGTGTGTCCTTACGAAACAGAGTTACAAAGGAAATCAGGGCAGCTAAATCCAATTTCTTTGTTAATCTCATTCATGAATCTAAGGGAAATCATAAACAAATCTGGGACTGTCTGCAGAACCTAACAGGGAAAGGGCATAACATATCAAAGCAGCTGGAGATCAATAACAATGGAACCTTATGTAAGGGACCAGCGGAAATATCAGCAATTTTTAATAACCATTTAGTTAATTATGTGAGGCTGACTATAAACAGTCCCCAAACTGGTCTTATATACTCATCACCTATTCTATTCTCCCTAACAGAGACTTCTGAATCCAAAGTTAATTATATAATTTCTTCTTAAAAAAATTCCAAATCAAAAGACACTTTTGGACTGGATTCTCTGTTTCTAAAGAAACATGCTACCACTCTCACAGGGACAATTACTAAAATAATTAACACCTCTTTTAGGGAGGGAAAATTCCCAAAAGACTGGAAGACAGCCATTGTTGTGCCAGTCCACAAATCCGGGGACACAACTGAGGCAAACAACTATAGGCCCATTAGTGTTTTACCTGTCATGTCTAAGATCTCTGAGAAATGTGTAGCTGAGCAATTGACTGGACATCTTAACAGTAGTCCTTTCACACTACACCCCATGCAATTCGGCTTCCGAGCCAATCATTCCACTGAGACCGCAAATTGTTTCCTTGTGGAAAATATCAAATCAAAAATCGACAAAGGAGGCATTGTTGGAGCAATCTTCTTAGATCTTAAGAAAGCTTTTGATACAGTCAATCATCAAGTACTCATTCACAAAATGTATTTTAATTTCTCACCCAGTGCAATAGACTGGATGAGCTCCTATCTGTCAGATAGAGTTCAGTGTGTAAGGGTAAGTGGCGAGACATCACCACCCCTGAGGAAGGAACTGGGTGTACCCCAGGGATCTATCCTGGGCCCAATTCTATTTAGCCTCTATATAAATGACTTGCCATCAGTGTGCACTGGATGTGAGGTGCAAATGTATGCTGATGACACTGTCATTTATGTCCATGCAAAAACCAAGTCCCAAGCTGCTGCCAAACTAAGTGATACAATGGTACATGTACATCAATGGCTTACTGACTCACAGCTATATCTAAACGTTAAGAAGACAGTCTGTATGTTTTTTTAGCAAGACCAACACTGTATCACACTGTGACCCCATGGTATATGTGTCTGGGGAGGTCATTCAAACAGTTACACATTTTAAATATCGAGGCATTATCCTTGACACTACTCTATCCTTCAAAAACAAGTGAGAAAGGTAATGCAAATAACTAAATAGAATCTAGCTAACTTTAGATAATAAGGAACTGTTTGACAACACCTGTAGCAAAACTCTATATGAATGCCATGATCATTCCCCACCTAGGTGGTGAATAGCACAACATTAAGGCCTATCCTATCACTTCACAAACAAGCTCTTAAAGTTTTGGACAGCTATACCACCATTGCAAAATCCTGGACAAACATAACCTGCTCAGCTTGGAAAATCTTTTAAAACACACTGATGCATGTCTCATTTTAAAGATTATAAACGGCAAGGCACCACCACCACTCTGCACTTTTATACAGCAGAAAAATTAAAACAGCAGAACCACAAGGTCTGCCCTAAGAGGGGACTGTGTAGTCCCTCTTATGTCCAGTTCCTTTGGTAAACAGTGTTTCTCTGTGAGGGCATCAACACTTTGGAACACAATACCAATACAGATAAGGAATAACACCTCCTATCATACATTTAACCTCTATCTTAAGAACTGGCTTTTAAGCAATCAAAAATGTGAACACTTTTAACTGTATCATATGATAGTATTTTATCTGTTTGCATGTTTGTCTGTTCCTATTTATTGTTGTACTGTTGTTGTCTGTTGCTGTGTGTATTTGTTTTAATTAGGTTTTTATTTCTCTAGTCTTGTTGTGGTTATTTTAACATCTTGCCAAAAGGACAACAGTTGAAAATTAGCCTGGTGGCTAACACTGGTACGCTTACAGCAAAGTTGATCAATGTGCACTGTCCTTTAAATAACAAACAAACCTGTACTGGAGAGAGCATGTGTGTGAAGAAGCAGGAAATAAAAAGGAACTCACCTTGTGGTATAACCGGCAAGAGAGAAAGCCTTTGAGCTCCATAATGTTTCAGAAATAATCCTTGATAATCCATGATATGGCGTTTCATCACCGCAGTATCTGCCGGTAGAATCTCCCGCATGAGCAAGCATAAGCTCCGCTTTTTTAAAGCTTTATACATAAAATCAGCACTTTTGAAACAGGAAGTGAAATAGAGGGGTATGAGGCATGGCTAGAATGGGTGATCTGTTTGGTATTTTGAGCCAAACACTTCGTAGACATGTTTTTTAATATATTTCTATATATCTGAGACCTATGCTATTGCCTAAAAATAGCATGATAGGTGACCTTTAATATTTTGAAAGACATCGTGACACTGCGGTTGGCCTTTACTCATAAGTGCTTCCTCATATTAGCAACATTTGAAGAAGCACACATCGCTTCCAAAGTAAGTGTTGGCAACACTTTCAACTACTACCACTGCTATACTAATATTACTACTACTACAACTACTACTACCACTGCTATACTACTACTACTACTACTACTACTACTACTACTACTACTACTACTACTACTACTACTACTACTACTACTACTACTACTACTATTACAACAACTACTACTACTACCACTGCTATACTACTACTACGACTACTACTACTACTACTACTACTACTACTACTACTACTACTACTACTACTACTACTACTACAAGTACTACAAGTACTACTATAAATTATACAAATAGCACCATACCATAAAACATACTTTTTAATTTTCCTTCATTCCTAATGTTTAACTTTCATTTGAAGTTGACCCCATCGATGCATGTCAGCTTTTATCAATCCAATCCACAAAAAACTGGACGCTGCACTAGGTCAGAAACCAGAGGAGACTGTGAGGTCCACCGTAGACGGACCACTTTTGGACAAAATGTCCTCTCCATTAAAGGCAGCTCACTCTGGAATAGCCTCCCAACTGAGATACGGGATTGTCCCACTGTCAATAGTTTTAAAGGTCAACTCAAAGAATGGTTGAGAAACAAACAGACGTGCAATCACCGCTAAATGCACTTTAATACAGGGGTAACTCCTCTTGCACTTTAGGTAACTCTTGTATCTTCTCTTACTTTATATGTCGTTGCTGCTATATTGTATTACCATGTCATAAATACTTGTGTATGCTGCTCTTGCTCTTTTGCACTTTTGCACTTTTGCACTTTTTGCATATCATGTATTTTGTTTTTGCTATGTTTGTAAAATGTAACTTTCTTAAATGTTTTATGTAAGGGACTGCGGATGGAAATTAGCTCAAAGCTAAATCTGGCACTGTTACGCTTGACACATTTGAATGTTTTAAGTGTTCATTATTGTGCATTGTCCCTGCCAAATAAACGATTAAAATGAAATAATAAACTATAACTTAGTAAGTGGACTTTCTGCAGACATTATTGGAGCTGTTTAGTATCTGAACTCACTAGTTTGGACTTTACTTAAACATGTCTACAATTCACAGTATACTACCCTCATTAGCAGCAGAGTATTGGCCAAAACTTATCTTTACTTTTAGATAATATTAAACAACAACTTAAAGCTCACAATGACTTACAAAATACTTTGTATAAGGTTTGTATAGTCTTTACATAAGGAATGTATTTATTTATTTATAAATAAGTTATCATAAATACTTTGTCACCTACAAATTCACCATTAACGTTTCATCTGAATTGTAGGACCAGAGGTAGAAGCCATAATTACCGAGTCTGGCACTGAAAGCCTACTCAAAATATTTATACATAAACACAAAAGACTGATGATTTTCCCACTTCCTGACTACTTGACTGAATGGCTTTAATGCTGCAAACAGTGCTACAAATCCTTTAGCACTATTAGAGGTAGGTCTATATCAAAGGCTGCTGATGAATCAAGTGTTGTCTTTTCCCTCTTGAAGTTTTCTGTCCTTGATCTGAGAAGCGCCTGATGTGTGCAACAGCTCCCTCTACTGGCCAAATCTTATAACACCAACAATAAAAACATTTAAAAAATAAGTTCATCCTGTGTTTGGTTTATTTGTATGAACACTTTTTATTTTGTGTGACACCAGATTATGTGGATCGACAAAGGATAAAGAGATAAGAGGCTCACTATTTGACGGAGTTAAGTGGTGATTATGAAATGGAAACAGTCAAGTGGAAATAACATTTTAATAATGAAAATAATGGTAACAACACAAAAGCAGTCTTTATCAGCTTCTATGGACTCTTGGTACATTTGGACATGTCTAAAACTAAATATAAAAAAAGGTTTTATCATTTACATTGTTTACATAATATTACATATTGTATAGAAACTTCATGTTAAATCACATCTGCCACACCATACCAAAGTCATACAAATCATAGAAAATGTTTGCCATTCCCTTATATTCCATCAAAATAGTTAATTGATGTTATCAAACAAACCAAATATTCACTGATTGATTTTAAAAAGATAATATTTTGTCTTTTTTGATTGTAAACTGGATATATTATCTTTTTAGGTAGTTACAAATCAAGACACAAGTATCTCCTTGGCTCTGGGAAAGGGTTATTTTTTAAAGAAAATGTGTTTGCTCGATAATAAATCTGAAAATTATACATTTAAATGATCAGATTATTACACATTATGCATTTACTCACATTGACTTATGCACTTTTAAAATCACTATGATTTAAAGATCAATCGATGCCAAGTATACAATGTAGCTGCTATTTTAAGCAAAAAGGTGAAATGGTTATTATTAGGCTTACATTAGCCTTTCCTAGAGCTGAATAAAAATGATTAAAGAAATGTTTAAAGCATGCAGTAGACATGTAGCAGTTAAATGTTAAACAACATAAAAAATAGACATAACATGAATGATTTTTAATGAGAATTATTATACAGAATAAATGAGTAATAAGAACACCAAGTGTAAGTATCAGCCCACTTAATTTCGCTTTATGAACCCAAAGATGGCCTTTTGTTTCCCCTTGGATGCATTGGTTCAGATGTTTGAAGGGCAAGTTCCTCAGTTAATTGCTATTGATTTTCAATATGCTAGTTTAAAACATACTTTATTCTATGGCAAGGAAACAGTAGTCCATTATATTATAACTTGCCATATTTTCAAAATGCATTATCTCTCAAATGCATTAAAAAAAGAATCTAGAAGTTGTAGTATAATATTAACATAGTCTGCTCTAACAGATTGTAAATACTTTGGGTGAAGTTGTCAATCATGTAACTAATATCAATACAGGTACTAGTACCAGATGCTATGTTTAAAACTTACACCATTTTTACATTATCGCCTTGAGGGTTTTCAAGCTTAGCTCCAAAACCAAAGCTTAGTTATTTGTTATATACAGTGACATCTATGTACAATTACAGTATCCATATCATTGACATCTTTATACCTCGGCATCAGAAACAGACTTGTCTTTGCTCCGACTCGTGACCATTGAGTTTGTGTAGGTATAAGAGCGAGAAACCTCTTCCTGGAAGGCAGTCTCCAATACATTCAGGATGGATTTACGGACCTTATCCTTGAAGTCTTGGCCCATAAACACATACAGCAGTGGATTCAGGCAACTGTTGAGAAAGGCCAGGCTGGTTGCTATAGGAACTCCAATGTTGATGACATGGTCTAATATTTCACTTGAATGAATAGCCATGTGATTTACCAACTCAATTAAAGCCATGATGTGATAAGGAGCCCAACACAGGAAAAAAGTGGTGATAACTGCAGCGATGATCTTAAAGGGGCGACTTGACTGGCTGGCCAGGGTGCGGTTTCTTCTGAGACGATGGATTATCACAGCATAGCAGGAGACAATGACAGTGAAGGGGACAACGAATCCCAGGAGGAAGCGGGTGAGGGACATGGCCTGATGGCGAAAATGACGCAGCTGATTCACAGATTCTGTTACATAGTCATCAGAAAGAGCATAGTTGTTGAAGCAATTGATGATATCATCGTTGTTATATGATGGCGCAGTGTCCCTAAACACAAAGTATGGAGTGCTGAGAATCAGAGCCAGTACCCAAACACCCAGACTCACACAAGATGCCTTGCGTACACTTCGGTGGTTCTGGGCCCAGACGGGCCACACCACAGACACACATCTGTCCACACTGATCACCATCAGGATGTAGACACTGGCAAACATGTTCAGAAAGCTTATAGTGCTGTTCAGCTTGCACATGAACTTGCCAAAAGGCCAGTGAAAATTCATAGCTGTGTACACAACACTCAGAGGCAGGAACGCTGTGAAGAGGAAGTCGGCCACAGCGAGGTTGAGGAACCACACTGTGTTAACTGTTTTCTTCATCTTGAATCCGGTCACCCAGATAACCACTCCATTCCCGAGCACACCGAGAACAAAGGCCAGGCAGTAAACAATGAGAGACATGATGTTGAGAGACTGTCTCAGCTCAGCATGCTCTTCCCCAAACTCATCCTCATCTTCATAATAAGAGCCATTTCTACCACTGTCATCAGTTGAATTGATGAGATAGAAAGGAGTAGCTGTCATTAGATCCATCATTGTCTTAAGACCTGCAAAAAAAGCAAACAAAGCAAACAAATTAAACCTTTAAGTATTTTATCTAGATGTGAACAAAAGTCCCTAATAATACTTAAGCTTAATGTTTTCACAAATAATTTTTATAAAAAGGCCAATAGAAAATGCTATTCACATGGACATGACAATAGTCCCAATTTCTATTTGGACTTTATGTACCTCACGTGAGCCACCCCAATAGACATCAAGACAAATATTTCCTAAGAAAAACTTTCCTAACTTTCTGTGCTAGTTCGAGGTTTCATAAAATGACTTTAAAATGTACACTTGAAAAGTTTCGCTCTACATGCAGACATGCATAAGGCGCGCACATTTCATACTGAGTTAATCAGTGCACATATGGGACAGAAACACATACATCATTTAACCATTAAATCACTGTTTAATTAAAGCAAGAGTCCTTAGGCCTGATAAACAGGAGTCAAAACCCAGGTCAGAGCTTAATTAACAATATGACAATATTTGCATGTAACTGAGTTAAAAAGTCCACCTCAAAGAATCGCAAATCTCTGATACGAAAACTGTTGCCAGTGCAGCCTGCATCGGATGCTTTTATTGTCTAATTCCTCCTGAGCTACGGTTCCTGAGGATAACAAAGGTACAGCACCTACCGTTCTCAAAGCGCCTGCTTGAAGAGGATGTGTCTTCGTTGCAGAAGACACCGGACAAATCTGACTAGTCTGTGGACTTCGTGAAGATCTGATCCCTGACTCTTTAAATATGTGACGTCATTGCACTCATCGAGGCGGGACCTCAGGCTGCAACCCCCCACCCCTAAAAACCATTAAACCTCTTGTACTTTATTCTTAAGGCATTATTGTATACAGTTTCAGTAAATATGGTTATACATTTTCTAAAACAAAACACAATTTCGACTTAATTTAAAGACTTTTATACATTCAGATTGAAGATGAGTATATGTGTATATAGTTAGTCATGACATGCTGTTTTCTCAATACTAGAGTCTGACGCAAAAATCATGCCAAGACATGCCTTCTTCTCGAAAAAGCCAAACAACAGACATTTGGGAAACTCCAAAAGTGAAAACACAAAGTAACCAAACAACTAAATACATAAATTGTGGGTTGTAAATATGACTACCTGAGACAGAGATGAGCAGAGGCTTCTCATGTGCCCCAGTGATCCTGCTGCGTAATGTGTTTTTCTCATTGTGGGTTGACCTCATGGTGGCTTGAGGTTAAGTGTCTTTGTCACTGTGCGAATTAACATCTGAAGACGTAGGTTACTTATTTTGAATGTCCTCCTCTCTTTACCCTGCAGCACATAGGAACGTCACTGCAACATCTGTCGATAATTTAGGGTTGCCGTGAAGTTATATAAAATAGCAGGCTACTCCCTCTGTGCCCCTGTCCACTTGATGCTGGACACACAACTGTGCCTCTGATTTAAACCGGAAAACAAAAACAGCATCCAATTTTGCACTTTAAAGGTCACCCATTATGCAAAATCCACTTTTTCATGTCTTTTATACTTAAATATGTGTCCCCTCTGTGTAAAGAGATTCAGAAAGTTTCAGGAAAAAAGATCCCTCTCTTTTCGTCCTGATCCATTTATATAAAAACCTGTCTGAAAATGAGCTGATCAGATTTTGGCCACTTTGTGATGTCACAATGTTTTAATTGGGTTGTGCAACCATTAGCCAATAACCAACCAAGCTAACGCCGCCCACCTTATCACCTGAATCTCCTCCTTTTTTAACCAAACATCTGACAGAGGGGCGTGGGGAGTGGCAGTTCATTTGTAGACAGACATGGGGTGTTTCTCAATGTCGAGGAAGGCTGCTCCAGAACCACTATTTCAAGCATACTACGTCATCGAGTGCAGCCGAAGGACTGTTCCAATGTCCAGCATACATGGAATTCTACCGAGGCCGGCGTACTTCGTAGCGAGAAATTTCGAGGCTGCACATGTGTAGACTTAAAATCCCCACAATGCTTTGCGCACGGACCAATTTCCAAATCTTTGGCGGAAATCGCGCTCCATTTAAGGCGGGGCCTCGCATATGACGCACACCTGCACACCTGTTAGCCTGTTCCACAATTCTTCGTTTTCCGAGGCTAGGAAGGATTCTTGCCTCGCTTCTGAAGCAAGTGACTCGGAAGACATGTGCTACCAAGCAAGCGTCCTCGACATTGAGAAACACCCACAGAATCAGCACTGGCTGAAACAGAGGGGATTATGGGATGCTAAAATGCACAATCTGTTTGGTATTCAAGCCAAACACTTCAGAGACATGTTTTGTATATATCTGAGACCTATAATATACTATTGAAAAAGAGTATAATAGGGGACCTTTAAAGTCAAATCCTTTTTGAAATGTGGAAAGACATTTAAAGTGCTATCATACTCGTAAATGGAGTTAGTGAAAGCACTACATGACCGCAGTCAAACAGTAAATAAAACAGGGTTTCCTATTTGTTCAAACTAGTCATTTTCTGTTGAAAATGGAAACAAAAATGTTGTAATAAAGTTAAAAGAAGGACTTCTTGAGAATGGATGGGATATTTAAATCAATCATTACACTGAACCATGCATTCCTGGAACATCTGACATTCACAGTAAAGGTGCATAAGTGTAGGCATCACTTCAGAGCGGTTCATTGCAAACCACAGACCTGATTGCAATCTTAAAACAAAAGGGAATTCATCTACCCACCCTGAAGCAAATCTAAGCTGTAAATCTTAGCAATTGCATCCTTTAAAGCCTGCTGTGGTACATTCCTGCTGCTTTTCTATTCCAGATATATCCCAGTCAAGTTCTCAGTCACGAAAATGCGAGTCTATCTAAGGCAGGGGTGTCAAACTAAATTTCATCACGGGCCACATTCGCATAAAGGTTGCACTCAAAGGGCCGGTTGTAACTATATAAATATATAATATATATATATAAAATAATTAGGGCTGTCAGTCGATTAAAATATTTAATCGCGATTAATCGCATGATTGTCCATAGTTAATCGCGATTAATCGCAAATTAATCGCACATTTTTTATCTGTTCTAAATGTACCTTAGAGGGATATCTTTCAAGTTTTTAATACTCTTATCAACATATGAGTGGACAACTATGCTTTATATGTTTGTTTATTATCATTTGAACAATGACAAATATTCTCATGAATATTAAACACAACAACCTCTGAACATTACAAATATTCGCTTCAATTCAACCTGGAACCTCTCTCATACAATAATACTGTGTGTGTGTGTGTGTGTGTGTGTGTGTGTGTGTGTGTGTGTGTGTGTGTGTGTGTGTGTGTGTGTGTGTGTGTGTGTGTGTGTGTGTGTGTGTGTGTGTGTGTGTGTGTGTGTGTGTGTAGACATTGTGATGGATCGTTGGAGCTATGTGCAGCTCAAGGCATATATGCTCCAACAGGAGCTGCGTGTACTATCCGTGCTGAGTGTGCTGACTTTTCGTACAATGTCCCACTGTCTGGCTACCTGCATAAAGTCAAGTGCTCGGCGCAGTTGTCGGCGAAATGTCATTGAAACAGCTCCTTATATCCGTTAGCGCAGCTAGCTAGCACCAGATGCTAACAACAACAACACGTAAGGTGTGCCTCGCTCGCGCGAGTCGCGCCACACATACACACTCCCTCCCGGTCCTCCCGATGGCCAGTCCGGGCCTGCCAGTGAGCGTGGAAGTGTGGTCTGCCACAAGCGGGCGGTAGGAGCGGGGCTGTCAGCATCAGCTTGTCGATGGTATTTTAAACTCGATGCGCTCTGAAACTAAGGCGGCCGAGGACAAAAAATACACATGCGTTAATCGCGTTAAAATAATTAGTGGCGTTAATTTTTTTTTTGCGTTAACGCGTTATTAACGCGTTAACTTGACAGCCCTAAAAATAATGTATTATATTACATTATTGCCTCTGAATTGGATTATTATCGGATAGGATAATAACTTAGTAATTAACTACGTCTGAAAGCAGTCCAGGGCAAATAATTGCAAGTTTCTTCAGTGCGCATGTCACAAAACGAGATGCATTGTGGGACATGTAGTTTATGGGCAACCTTCTGTAAAGTGGCATGTAACCGTATAATAAACGTATTATATTCTTTGCAAGCTCTTGCGGGGCCACATAAAATGAAGTCGCGGGCCGGATTTGGCCCCGGGCCTTGAGTTTGAGACCCCTGATCTAAGGCCTTGCCGTGGCATGGACCTACGGAGTAGTTGAATAATTAAAAGAGTACAAAACATTATTTTGAACAAATACCAAGGCAAACCAGAAGACTTAAAATCTCCCTGACTTACTGAAACTTCCTGCAGTGAACATGTTTTGTTGTTTAAACAGCAGGATGGAGGCATGGACACAGGGACACAGGGGAGTGATGGCTGGAGAGAAAGAAAATCAATCTCATGTCCCACGAGTGCAACCCTACCTTTCTTTGCGAGAGAAATGTTTCATCTGAGATTGACTCCATGGTCATAATTTCCTCCCACATGGTTCCTCTTTCTCAGTTTTTCGACCACGCTACCCACACATTTGTTCTTCTGTATCACCATGTTTTGAGTTAAATCTTTTTCCCCCTACAAATCTTATGTGGAAAACTGCAAAACTTGTTGAATGGACTCTTTCCTCATTCCCAGTATGCTGCGCTTTCTCACTTTCCACGTGCACTTTAACAGGGAGTAAACAGATGTTAAGAAGAACTTAGCTAACAGAAACAAACTTGTGGAAAATTATTTTTGGGGGAATAGAATTTGAAGAGTTTTGCAGTAACATATGAAACCATTATTTAAATCATATGCACCAAATCAAACATGACTTAAAACCCTAACTTTGACACCAATAGACATATTTCTGTATCTGTACTTTCCAAAGAGTTGATTAGGAACAAAAGACAGAAGTCACTCCTAAAATGAATGCACAAAAATGCACTGTGATTGATATTTACTTGCATTGAAAACGCACTGGGTTGCACACAAACAACATGGAACAAAGAAATCTAAATCCAAAATTAGATCTAACAGTGAAACACAATGAGGCTCAATATCTTGAACTGATCAGATTCACACAGTGTGAGCTGCTATAACCTGCCCAACCCCAAAAAGTGAATCCCCCGCTAATGTACCCACACACCACACAGGAACTATGACCTGCCAAGAGTCCAGATGTGAGGGGGAGGACAGAAGGAGAGAGAGAGAGTAAAAGAGGACGAGACACTACACACTCTCAGTGAGTTCAGAGCATTACCCTTATTTAAGTGTGTGGGAGGACTTATGCCTCTGTCATCATTGCCTTTATTCTTCTGGAAACATAAACATTTAACATCTGAATATTCGTCCCCACTGAGAGAAATTCAACAGCCGGTCCAAAAACAATTCATCCTAACTGCAGGAAACCTAAATAAGCTGACCCAATTACCTTTTTCATCAATCCTTTCTCAGTGAACTGTTCAGCCCTATTTGCAACAGTAAATGACATTACTGTTTTAGCTAAAGTCTAGACAGTATGACTACTTTGTGTAATTATGTTTTGACCCTCTTGAGAAATCAGCCTCCACTTTTCATTTTCTGTGCTCAAATGTGCTTTTTGCATTTTCTGCCGTACAGTCTTGCAGCAGAACTTGAAGGCAGAGCATTTTACTGGTGTCTGTGGGGGATATTAATAGCTATCCCAAGGCTATAGTTTGAGGGAAGCCTTCAGA